CAGTTCAATAGTGTGCAACATATTCTAAGCAAGTTACTAGATGTATATATATTATTTATATATAATATCTCAGAGCAAACAACTGGGCAGTAAAACTCATTTTACCTCACAGATAATCATATAAAACAAAAGACTTATCTTCATTATACTTTATGCAAACTGGATTATTTATGGTTGGATTATTGCAGCAACATTTATTTATATACATTATTATTATTTGTTGAATATCAAATACTTACTCATCAGAATCAAACTGTACAATATTAATAATAATAATAATAATAATAATAATAATAATAATAATAATAATAATAATAACATGATTTTCTACTTTCAGTCCTAATCATAGATACCAAATATTTATTATTTTTTGTGCTGTAACAAAGAAACTATTGCCCTTGTAACATTTCCACTTATTATAATATATATATATATATATATATATATATACACAGAGCAAGAACAAGATTAACAAAGTCGGGTCTGTTTTAGTAATCAATATTATATCAATATAATAATCATATTAATAATATTTCATTAATTAAATATTTATATGGATGGTTTCAATCTGTACGTTTGTGTACTTGGGGATTATTTCAGGCCACGTTGTTTAAGATGGTCTAAAAATACACATCATTAAACAATATGCGTAAAAAGAGAATAAAATGTTAGAAACTAAAAGCCAAAAAAAACACAAGTTGATCTTTGTTCCACTGCGAGGACCGTTACATGATACTGACATTATTGTCGTCAAGTTTTATATCACAAGTGTGTAGATTTTGTGCCTTTATGCACTCTAAAGAATGATCATTAAAAATGTCCATTAATTGATATTATACATAACTCGTTCACAGCACATTGAGGACTCTGAGCTCTGTAGATAAAGTGTGTGTCTCTGCTGTCAGTGTCTCTGTACTCGTCCCTCACACATACACTCATTTAATAAAAGATCATTTTACTATTCAGAGACTTTTCCCTTTAAAACATGATGAATATAATCATCCTCTTTATCTCTAACTGCTCTGTTCCACTGTCACACTGACCTTCACTGGTAATATCTTCACTTTATCCACAGTGTTAATGAATGGAAACATCCTCTCAGTGAAAGTGTGTGTGAAGGTGTGTATGTGTGTGTTAGTATCAGGATCAGAGAACAACAGCTTTCCTCTGTTCCAGTCCAGATTCACTCTGATCCTCTGGAGCTTCTTCTGAACTACGAGATCAGTGAGTGGAGCTGATGGTGACCGTGCATAGTATTTACCTCCGGAGAACAATATTCTCCATAATCCAGACCGTATGTATCCCTTCCTCTGGACAGACTCTGCTAACACACCCAGTCTCCAGACTGTACTGTCTCCAACCTCGACATCCCAGCTGTGAGTCCCTGAGTTAAAGCCCTCAGAGCCCAGAACAGACCAGAGAGAATCAATCCTCTCTGGATTATCAGGAAGCTGCTGTTTCTCTCCTCGTCTCACACTGGTCAGATCTTCAGACAGGATGAGTTTTGGATAAACAGTGTTTGGATCCAGAATCACAGGAGTGTAGGAGACCATGTCCTTCATCTTGTTCCAGATGTTGAAGGTCAGGTTGCCCAGGTGTTTGGCCTCGTCTATCAGGAGCTCCTGAGGGCAGCTGTGGATCCTCCAGCAGGGGGCGCTGCTGGACTCTTTCCACTGCAGCCTTGTAGTTGTTCAGGAATGAGACGTCTTCAGCTCTCAGCTCCTCCTCTGTGGCTCTGACTGTGTCTGAAAGAGCTGCTATCTCTCTGCTCAGAGCCTCCATCTTCTCCTTCATCATCTGACTCTTCTGCTCCTCTTCCTCCCTCAGTGCAGCCAGCCTGGCCTCCTCTTCCTCTTCTAGAAACTGGCGAAGCTTCTTAAACTGCTCCTTAATCAGCCTCTCTGTGCGTCGGGCCTGGACCTTCATGTGTTCTGCTGTTTGATCAAACTTCACTTTAACTCCTTCACAAACCTTTAACTTCTCCTTTAAGGGCTTCAGAGATTTCTGGAGCTCCTCTTTGTGATCCTGAGCAGCTTCATTGATGGGTCTGAATCTGTGGTTGGTGTGTTTCTTTGAATCTCTGCAGACGAGACACACTGGCTGCTGATGGTCCAGACAGAAGAGTTTGAGTTTCTCAGAGTGCAGACTGCAGAGAGCCTCTGAAGATCTCTGATCTCTCTCCTGTAAGAAACTCTCACACAGGTTCTTTAAAGTCAGGTTTAAAGGTGGTTCACTCCTCGAAGATCTTCTTTTACAAACTGGACACTCACGTGTTGGTTTCTCCTTCCACCAGCTCTTCAGACAGTCTTTACAGAAGCTGTGGCTGCATGACAGAACAACAGGATCTCTAAAGACCTCATGACAGACCGGACAGCAGAGACCCTCCTCTAATCTGGAAGCCATTTGTCTCTGAGTGCAGCTGGAAACAGCAGACAACACGTTAAACAGGTTGGTCGGTTATGGTTCCCGCCCTGCTGTAAAAAGTTGCCTCAGTTACTTTCACTTTGAGTCTTTGAGAGTTTTAACAGTCAGCAGCAGGTTGAAGAACTTCAGAGTACTTCAGTCCTCCGTCCTGTAACTGTCCTCCCTCAGTTAAAGTCACAGCTTTGTAATGAAGGTAAATCTTACCGTCTGTCTCTCCGTCTGTCTGTCTCTCCTCAGTGAGAACTGAACAGGAACAACCTGTTTCCTGGTTGGTCTCAGGTGATGTCTTTAAAGGGCGGAGCTTTGTCAGCTGACTGCTGTGTCTCATTTTAAAGTGAAATATGATCCATCACACTGCTCTGAGATCACGTCACAAAGAAAACAACCAGAGCAAATTCACTTTCACTCATATTTCTGTGACTGCTTTACTTTGGTTTAAAGGTCCAGGTCCATATTATAGACAGTAAGACTGTAACTAAACAAATAATCACTGAACTCTGGAGGAGGAAAACCCTGGACTAATGTCACTGCTGCTATTGAACAATGTGGATTTATAATACAGAACTTTATAGACATTAAACTCCCTCAGACTCTCTGACTGTATACACTTTATAAATGTTCACTAAAATGTTTATATAAGGTGTAATATATGTGTATACTTTAATAAAGTTGATATAAAGAGTACAGTGTTCATACAATAGTATCACAATAGAAAATATAAAACTATAAATTAAATATATATATTAACTCTATGCAATGTGCAGTTCAATGGTGTGCAACATATTCTAAGCAAATTACTAGATGTATATAATTCAATTCAATTCAATTTTATTTGTATAGCACCAATTCATAACAGAAGTTATCTCAGGACACTTTTCAAATAGAGCAGGTCTAGACCGAACTCTTTAACATTAATTACAGAGACCCAACAGTACCACCATGAGCAAGACCTTGGAGACAAGGGCAAGGAAAAACTGCCTGTTAAAAGGCAGAAACCTAGGACAGATCCTCCGGCTCTAGGTGGGGGGGTCGTCTGTCTCGACCAGTTGGGGTGAGAGAGAGAGAGAGAGAGAGAGAGAGAGAGAGAGAGAGAGAGAGAGAGAGAGAGAGAGAGAGAGAGAGGCAGAGCGAGAGAGAGCGAGAGACAGACAGACAGGTGCACAGCAGCAACAATATTGGCAATGGCAATCTAGCAGGACCATGGCAGGAGGCTCCACCAGGATCAATAAGAACCTGCGAGACGAGAAAGCACAAGAACTCCGGGGAAGAAGTGGAGTTAGTAACATGCATTAATGGAACATGAATGAGTGCATAAAGAGAGAGGAAGGGAGGAGCTCAGTGCACCATGGGAAATCCCCCGATAGTCTAGGCCTATAGCAGCATAACTAAGGGATGGTTCAGGACTCACCTGATCCAGCCCTAACTATAAGCTTTATCAAAGAGGAATGTCTTAAGCCTACTCTTGAATGTGGTGAGGGTGTCTGCCTCCAGAACCACAACTGGAAGCTGGTTCCACAGGAGAGGAGCTTGGTAACTGAAGGCTCTGGCTCCTGTTCTACTTTTAGAGACTATAGGAACCACAAGTAGCCCAGCATTCAGAGAACGTAATGTTCTAGTGGGGTAATAGGGTACTATGAGCTTTTTAAGATATGAAGGGGCCTGACCATGAAGAGCTTTATAGGTGAGGAGGATTTTAAATTCTATTCTACATTTTATAGGGAGCCAATGCAGAGTAGCTAGTACAGGAGAGATGTGATCTCTTTTTCTAGTTCCTGTCAGTACTCGTGCTGCAGCGTTCTGAATTAATTGGAGCGTTTTAATGGACTTATTGGGGCAACCTGATAATAAAGAGTTGCAGTAATCCAGCCTTGAAGTAACAAATGCATGGATTAGTTTTTCTGCATCTGTCTGTGAAAGTATGTGTCTAATTTTTGTAATATTACGTAAATGAAAGAAGGCAGTCCTAGAGGTCTGCTTTATGTGGGAGTTAAATGACAAATCCTGCTCAAAGATAACTCCAAGATTCCTGACAGTGGTGCTAGAGGCCAAGTTAATGCCATCTAGAGTGACTATATCTTTAGACAATGAGTCTCTAAGGTTTTGGGGCCAAGAACAAGAATCTCGTTTTTTTCTGAGTTTAACATCAGAAAATTGCAGGTCATCCAGGATTTTATGTCCGTAAGACATGTTTGTAATTTAGATAATTGATTAATTTCATTGGGTTTGATTGATAGATATAACTGCGTATCATCTGCATAACAGTGAAAGTTAATGGAGTGATTCCTAATAATGTTGCCTAAAGGGAGCATATATAAAGTAAATAGTATTGGTCCAAGTACAGAACCTTGTGGAACTCCATGACTAACTTTAGTATTTATGGAGGATTCATCGTTAACATGTACAAACTGCGAGCGATCTGATAAATATGACTTAAACCAGCTTAGTGCGGTTCCTTTAATGCCAATTTGATGCTCGAGTCTCTGTAAAAGAATATCATGGTCAATGGTGTCAAATGCAGCACTAAGATCTAATAATACAAGTACAGAGACAAGTCTATTGTCAGAAGCAGTCAGAAGGTCATTATTAACTTTAACCAGAGCTGTCTCTGTGCTATGATGAACTCTAAATCCTGACTGAAAATCCTCAAATAAACTATTGTTATGTAGAAAGTAACACAACTCTTTGGCGACTACTTTCTCCAGAATCTTAGAGAGGAAGGGGAGGTTAGAGATTGGTCTATAGTTGGCTAAAACCCCTGGGTCAAGAGTGGACTTTTTAAGAAGGGGTTTAATTACAGCTACTTTAAAGGACTGTGGTACATATCCTGATAATAAAGAAAGATTAATCATATCCAGTAAAGAAGTGCCAATTAAGGGAACAACTTCTTTAAGCAGCCTAGTTGGACTCGGGTCTAACAGACAGGTTGATGGCTTCGATGAAGAAATGATTGAAGTTAACTGATGAAGATCGATAGCAGAAAAACAGTCTAAATATATATCTAAGTTTACATTGACAGAAGTCCCTGAACTTGGAGAGCCACTGATAACTGTTGATGGCAGTTGGTGATTAATTTTTTTCTCTAATAGTAATAATTTTATTATAGAAGAAGCTCATGAAGTCATTGCTACTTAAGTTTATGGGGATATGTGGCTCAACAGAGCTGTGACTCTCTGTCAGCCTGGCTACAGTGCTGAAGAGGAACCTAGGGTTATTCTCATTGTCTTCTATTAGTGCTGAGTTAAAGGCTCCTCTGGCATTACGGAGGGCCTTTCTATAGGTTTTAAGATTATCTTGCCAAATTGAGCGATATTCTGATAATTTGGAAGAGCGCCATTTCCTTTCAGATTTCCTAGCTATTTGCTTTAACTGGCGGGTTTGGTGGTTATACCAAGGTGCTAGTCTCCTATGTTTTAATAATTTCCTTTTATAGGAGCGATAGAGTCTAATGTTGATCGTAGTGAGCCTGCAGCACTATCGACAAGATTATCAATTTCAGAGGGACTAAAGTCGTTATAGGATTCTGTTAAATTCAGACATGGCATTGAATTAAACACTGAAGGAATCTCCTCCTTAAATTTAGCTACAGCACTGTCAGATAGACATCTGCTGTAGGATGTATATT